CTCAAACCAGATCTGCAAAGATTTTTTTCTTCACAGATAAATGAAGAATTTAGAAAAGAAAAAGAAATTTCGAAAAGCTTTTTTCCTATATATATATATTTCTAGAATCTTCTCAAACCAGATCTGCAAAGATTTTTTTCTTCAGAGATAAATGAAGAATTTAGAAAAGAAAAAGAAATTTCGAAAAGCTTTTCCCCTATATATATATATTTCTAGAATCTTCTCAAACCAGATTTGCAAAGATTTTTTTCTTCATAGATAAATGAAGAATTTAGAAAAGAAAAAGAAATTTCGAAAAGCTTTTCTCCTATATATATATATATAAAGCAAAAAAAAAAATGTAATGTTTGAGAAAATTCTAGAAATAGATTCATTGCAAAATGAAGGGATTCTTCTCTTCAACAAAAATTCTTATATATATATCATATATATATATATATTTTCGATCATTCACCGTCCACGTTGGATCCATCGAGGGCCCGTGCTATCCAAGTTTTCCTCGCTTCTTCCAGCCCCTCCCCCCTCTCTATCCACTGTCGAATATCGTTCCTGCGCCCGATCCCGGCGATCACCGGCTCCGTCTCATCCCCCCCCAGCTCCAAACTGTCCCCGTAATTTTTCACGCAGATCCCCGCCTCCCTTGCCGTGTCCAGGAATATGTTCAACGCCGAGTCGTGGTCGGCCAATAGCAGATCGACCATCTCGAACCTGGTGCTCACATAATGGACCATCAGACTGATCAACGGCCTCGTCAAGTTTTCCCCGTCGTACGTGGCGATCGGCGAAACGCTGTAATTGCGCAACGGTTCCATTATCGTTGCGTACTCGGACGGTAATAATATCCCCATGTCGTAGCGGTCCGTCCGGCAATCGGCGTTCACGGTTGTTTGCAACGCTTGTTTGTACACGGTCGTCTCGTCGAAACAAGTGTCCAAGATCTTCAAACCTTTTCGATTAAACGCGATCCTTTAATTAATCCTAATTTGATGGATATATATATGTGTGTGTGTGTGTGTGTGTGTGTATTGGCTCACCCAATGAGAATCCAGGAATGAATTCGTACTTGTTCAATAGATGGACCACGTATGAGGCGGTGACCACTTCTTGCAGCCCGGTATCGCTCGTCACGTTGCAATAAGGTCCGTGATTGATATTCAAGAACACTGGAAGTGCATATGATATATGTATAGGAAAAAGTGGATTGGTTGTTTAAAAATGCTTTTTTTAACACGTTGACTGCCTCGCCGTGTTTCCAACGAAATCTTGTTCAGAGAAATTGTTGTTCGTTGATATTCAATATTTATTGCTATATTATGATATATTATTATGAGAAAGAAGTTTTCAAGGATTATATACTCTATATGTTATTAATTTTTTAAAATTCAGAATAATTTTATTTATTATTTCAGTTAATATTTTTTGTGTCTTTCTTTTGAATATTTTTTCATCTAATATTGAAATTGATATATTATGAGCATCAAAAGATATTAAATTTTTTTAATCTTTTAGAAATTCTATTATTAAATTCTTTTATTTTTGTAACTTTAGGTTTTACAGTAACTTTAAGTTTAATTATTATTTAATTAAAAATAATTATAATTTAAGAAAACTATATTTAATTATTACAATTTCTTTAGGAATTTATTTTACTATTCTTTAATCGATTGAATATTTAAATTCATTTTTTTGTTTTAATGATAGAGTTTATTTTTTTATTTGTATCATTATATC